GGGCCCCCCCCCCCCCACCCCAGGGCCGGCTGGCCTCACCAGCTGAGCTTACCACAGTGGGGCTGGTACTGTAGGGGCGCTCAGGGGGGCCTCCGGGGTTCCCCAGAGCTCGGCCTTGCCCCAGGCCTGCCCGCCCACCCCCAGCCCACGCACCTTCATCGCCCGTGCGTCCTTGTCCCTCTTGCGCTCCATGCGCCACAGCTCCGACATGCACTTCTCCAGGTTGGCAGCTCGGTGGCGGTACTCGATCTCATAGTGCTGGCGGCTGTCCTGGGAAGGTGGGGAGACAAGGGACCTCACCCCCAGTGTCACAGAGTTCACAACCCGTCTCAGGCGGCAGAGCACTGGACCGGAGCTCATCTGGGGACGTCTATATCCTGGGGCCCGTTAATGCTCAGGCTGGCCTCAGTGTGCCTACCTGTCAAATGGGGAGGGGTGGAGGCGGGGAGCCCAGACTCACTTTAATGAACTGCATGTCCAGCTTGGTGTTCTTCTCCATGTGCTGCAGCAGGTCTCCATGGAACGTCTGCACCTGTGTGGAGTGCAGGGTGGGGGCGATCAGGGCGGCCCTGGTGTTCCCAGCCCCAGCATCCCCTTGCATTTTCTACCACGACACACCGGCCACTACACTCCTAACACACCTGGCACCGCCCACTCACCAGGAAACGGGGCCAGTAAGAACACCTGGCTGGAGGGAGGCTTAGGTGGTCAACCACGCAAGTCACACAGGGCAGCACCTGGGACCCCCACCCTTGAGAAGTGTGTCCAAGTCTCTGGTCCTTATTTTCAGCCTCGCTCCTAGTGCTTTGAGTGTCATTCCCCCTGTCTGGGATTTCCTTCCAATCTTCACATGCTAGAGTATTGCCCTCTCTGCTGGGAAGCCTTCCTGGCTTTCCTGACTTCCCCAGGGAGAAGCTGTTGCCTGATTCTCAATCAGGCATGATTGCTGTCATGATCCTCTTGCCTCTGCCTCCTGAGTTGCTGAGATTACAGGCCCACGCTACAGTACTTGGCCTTCAGGTTGGACTGAGAATAGAACCTGGCCCTGCCGTGTGGTCCCAGCCGGTGGAGCACGGTGTCTGAGCAGTGCACACTGCCGTGGCTGGGCCCTGCCCCCTTTCGATTCTGGGATGTGCCCGCGTCCATTTGCTGCTGGTTAATTTCCTCAGCCACATGAGGATCTCTTGCTGGGGCCTGCTTACAGCTCCTTGGCGCTCCTGTGAGCATGAAGCCAGTCGGACCCCGCTCTGGGTCCTCAGCCTCATGGGCAGGGCAGGGCAGGGCCTAGGAAAAGCTCTCGGAATAGTTGAAGCCTTAGATGGTGGCAGGTGAGAAGTGAGGAACAGGCGTCTGACCACAGGGAGGACAGGGAGGCTGCTGGGCTCAGAAGAGCTGCATCCTGGTTCTGCTTCCCATTTGCTTTGTGGCTTTGGACAAGTTGCTGCCCCTCTCTGGGTCTCAGCTTGTCCATCTGTGACAGGAAAGGCATGGCCAGATGCTAAGGACCTGCTGAGCTTTGCGTCTGTGGGCCTAGGAGGTCACCTGGTGCATTCCCTGTGTCTCCATGGGCTGTCCCTGAGTCACTCGGCACGGGTGGGGAGTGGGACCTAAATCCTCCCAGCTGCGCGGTTTGCCCTTGGGTTCAGGCTGCAATCCAGCAAAGAGGCTTCTCTGTCTCTGTGACACACCCTCTCTGGAGGCCCTGGGCCCCGGCTCAGCCTTTCTGTCCTCATGCCCTCCCCTGGTGGCTCCTTCCTCCTATCCAGGGGCCGGCTGCACTGCGGGAGCTCAGCCCTGGGACAGGAAGAAATGCCGGCCATCCCCCAGCATCAGGTGACCAGGATGTCAGCACAGTGCTCTCTTTTTTTAATTTGCCAGAGTGTGCATGTGTTCACTGGAGAGAGACAGAGAGAGAGAGAGAGAGAAAGTAAGAAAGCAAGCCACCAGGTCCAGGACTTGAACTGTGGTCGGTCATGTGGGAGTCTGGCATCCTTAACCACCGTGCCACCTGCCAGCCCTGCCCAAGATGTTCTTAAAGCCGCTGGGTCTGAGACTTGAGCCGAGCAACCCTCCATGTGGGATCCAGCCATCTTAAGCACCAGGCCTCTGGCTGGCCTGTAGGACTAGATTTCGAATGTTGAAGTGTGCTCTCACAATTCTGAAACCTTGGTAACCACTGGTTCACAAGGGAGCTTGGACTGAGGGGCCTCGATACTGGCCGAGGAGGCTGCAGGATGGAGGGCTACGGCGCTCGCACTGTGCTGCCAGTTCAGGCGTAGTAGGGTGACAGTCCCAGCTTTCCTGGGGAAGTAGGAAAAGGGGGGCGAGGCTGGGGCTGCGGGAGGGGCCTGGGGAGCTTGGAGGAGGACAGGGAGCCACAGGGCCAGGAGCAGAGCTGAGGGTGGCCGTGAGGGCCGTGGGGCCCACCCACCGGGGCC